ATCACAGCTCACAGCAACCTCCAACTCCTGGGCTCAAGCGAGTCTCCTGCCTCAGCCTCCCAAGTAGCTGGGACCACAGGCGCCCGCCACAACTCCTGGCTATTTTTTGGTTGCAGCCGTTATTGTTTTGGCAGGCCTGGGCTAGATTCGAACCCGCCACCTTAGGTGTATGTGGCTGGCACCTTAGCCACTTGAGCCATGAATATCACCTTAATGTCCCTATATCTAGCAATTGGGAAAGCTTATTTGATTTTTTTTTTGATAAACATTTTCATTGTGTTAAAAGCTTATTTGATTTCCTTAAAAACTTTTCTCTTTTAGGCAAGGGATTACGAATCTGAAATTGGTAGCTCTGACAACCACAACTACTAAGAAGGTATTAGAAAATATTATTTCATTCTTGTCCATATCATGTGTTAGAAATAACATGAACTAATCTGAGTCACAGCACCAGAAAAGAAAAAAAGAAGAAAGAAATAGCATTGACTAATACAAAAGTAGATGTTAAGTAGTACTCAGAGGATTTTAGCTTTTAGTTCACACAGAAACTTGACAAATCAGAAGTAATCCCTGAGAACTCTTTTTTTCCCCATTTTCAAAGGATGTAAATCTTGGCTTCACATGTAAACAGAGCAATGCAGGAATTAAAAATATCTGTAAGAACATTTTATTGTTTTGGCATTGAGGAATTAGGTTCACCTTAAATATAAATTGTAGAATGAACTTCAGGTATATGGATTTTCATTCAACAGATTTGGAACATAGAGGGGTGGAACATAATTTTATATGTAACATTTAAATAGCGTAGTAGCAGTCTTACTTATATATAAGTGACTTTTTTGCATTTAGCTTTGTACCAAGTGTTTTAATTAACCTATGCTCTTGATTGTGAAGTGCTGTTTTGTGCTTGTAGGTTTGTATTAACTTAATAAATTAATTACTCTACCTTTTTTTTTTTTTTTTTTTTTTAGATGAAAAACCTCCTAGTTTATTCATTACCTACAATGGAAATACTGTATTCTTTGGAAGTATCTAGTGTTTCTTCTCTGGTCCAAACAGGAATTAGCTCAGTAAGTTTGTGCATATTTTAAGTTACTTAATAATAAAAAACCTTAAGCATTACTCAGCTAAACATGAGTAGAATCTACTAGAATACTTGGATAGAGCTCAGGTTCATAAATATATTTATTAATAGAAGTCTTCAAACACTTCCCAGTCTTCATATTAAAATAAGACATAAAAGCAAATTGATTAATTAATCATCTGCTTATTCAATTGCTTTCTCAATAGGAGATATAGATGATGATGGTGGGATGCTCTTGCTCTTTTCATTGTGATATTTTTTGAACAGTTTACCACATTTGTTCCATTTTTTTCTTATACACACTATATGTTTTTAAACCATTTGGAAATTATTTTCGGCCGTCATGACCTCTTGCCCCTAAATTTCTCAGTAGGTAGCTTGTAAGAATGAGGGCATTTGTCTACAACACAGTTGTTGCACTTAGAAAATTTAACATTACTATATTACTATTATGAAATAAATCTCTCAAGTTTAAATTTTACCAGTTGTGTCAGTTACCTTAAAGCTATTTTTTTTCATTATCCAGGATCTAATCAAACATCCCTCATTGAATTTAGTGGTCATGGTCATGTGGTAGTGTAACCGAGAATAGTTCCCTAGTCTTTTTTGTCTTTTAAGACATTGTCATTTTTGAAGAGTCCCACCCTGTGGTTTTGTAGAATTTGGATTTGTGTGATTATTTCATCATGATTAGATTCACATTAAGCTTTTTTTGTTGTTGTTTTGTTTTTTTTTTTGAGACGGAGCCTCAAGCTATCCCCCTGGGTAGAGTGCCGTGGCATCACAGCTCACAGCAACCTCCAACTCCTGGGCTCAAGCGAGTCTCCTGCCTCAGCCTCCCAAGTAGCTGGGAATACAGGTGCCCGCCACAACGCCTGGCCATTTTTTGGTTGCAGCCATCGTTGTTTGGTGGGCCCGGGCTGGGGATTCGAACCCACCACCTTAGGTGTATGTGGCTGGCGCCTTAGCTGCTTGAGCCACATTAAGCTTTTTTGGCATAAGCAGTGCATGGGTGATACTGTGTCCTAACCACATAACATTGATGGATTTATGCTATCTGTCCTGATGGCAGTGGTGTTAAATTTAATCACTTGGTTAAGGCAGTTCTGTCAGATTTCTCTATTTCTATAGATTTTTACCTTTATAAATAGTATGTAATCTGGACAGTGCCTGTGGCTCAGCATGTAGGGCACCAGCCCTAAATACCAAGGGTGGCAGGTTCGAACCTGGCCCCGTCCAAACTGCAACAAAAATATAGCTGGGCGTTCTGGCAGGTACCTGTAGTCCCAGCTACTCAGGAGGCTGAGGCAAGAGAATTGCTTAAGGCCAGGAATTGGAGGTTGCTGTAAGCTGTGTGATGCCACGGCACTCTACCAAGGGTGATAGAATGAAACTCTGTCTCTTAAAAAAAAAATTTAAACCCCACACTGTACCCCAGAAGTGCATTAATGTACATAGTTACCATGTACATAGTTACCATTCAATAAAAAAAAGAAGAAGAAAAAAAAATTTAATATATAATCTGTGTGGTATTATTTTGAGACTATGGAAATAAATATCCTTTTTACAAATAATTTTTCCTTGTTTTAAAATACATTGATGTATAATTCTTGCCTGAAGCAATAATTACTCTAGTAATTATAAAATGCATTGCTTTTATGTTGGAGTTTTAATCATGTTTTTGTTATCATTGTAGGATACTATATACCTCCTGGAAGGAATTTGCAAAAATGATCCAACGTAGGTCATGTTTTGCTTTAATCAGCTAAGTTAAAATTTACTTATTAATATTAGGTAAGTACATTTATAGTGAAAACTTTTTTTCAGACTTTCTGAAGACTTGATCTCTGTTTTAGTACTCAGATGTCTTACAGAAGCTTTACCAGAAAACAGGTAATTTCTCATTTTCTTTTAAGCCTTACCTCTGATGAAAAACTTAAATTCTCTGATTAATAATGAAATTTCTTTTCCAACTAATCAGATTGAGTCGGTTACTTCACAAACACAGATTTGCTGAAGCTGAGAGCTTTGCCATTCAGTTTGGACTGGATATTGAGGTAACCATTCATGTATTCATTTGTTCACTAAACCAGCATTCCTTGATATCCTGAGGCTGAAGAGACAGAATTATAAAACATAATTGAAATTTAATGTGATTAGGCCTGTTATTGAGGTATGACCCAAGTAGAGAAGACATTCAAAGGAAAGAATGACTCACATAGGCCAGAAAGATGTCATTGAGGAGGCAATTATATTTATTTTTGAGACTTTGTCACCCTGGGGTTGAGTGCCATGGCATCATCATAGCTCATAGCAACCTCAAACTCTTAGGCTCAAGTGATCCTCATGCCTCAGCCTCCCAAGTAGCTGGGACTGCAGGTGCCTGCCACAGTGCCTGGCTTGTTTTTTCTATTTTAGTAGAGTCAGGGTTTCACTCTTGTTCAGCCTGGTCTTGAACTCATAAACTCAAGCGAACTACCTGCCTTGGCCTCCCAGAGTGCTAGGATTACAGGTATGAGCCACTATGCCTGGCCATTAAGGAGGTAATTTTCTTCTTTCTTTTTTTTTTTCCTATGGAATGCTTCACGAATTTGCATGTCATCCTTGCACAGGGGCCATGCTAATCTTCTCTGTATGGTTCCAATTTTAGTATATGTGCTGCCAAAGCAAGCACTAAGGAGGTAATTTTTATGTCAGATTGTGAAAGTATTCCAGATAGTCTAGGGAGAAGAAGGGAAATCTGGGTATAAACACAGCAGGAATAAGTGAGGGAAGTTTGTGATGCTTCCAGGAGCTTCCCGTAATTATCCTAGAGTAGAGTGCAGGTTATATGCAGGCAGTAGAGCAAAAGGGATAATGATGCAGAGGTGGGACCAGAGTCTTGGGGGGCCCTCACATGTACTGTAATGGATTGATATTTGATTGTACACATAATGGACAGCTACAGAAAGTTTTATGTAGGGAAGTGTCTTGATTAGGTTGTCATTTTGGAAAGATGGAGAATTATTTGGAAAATCGTAAACCAAGTGGTTCGATTATCAAGTAGGATACCAAACAGCTTTCTCTGGGAGACCTGAACAGTGCCATGGATGGAGATGTAGAAGACTGGTAAGAGAGGAACATAGGGAGTAGAATCAGCTGTACGTAGTAATCAAACAGAGGACGGAGAGGAGACCTAAGTTTGACTAGTAGGACTTGCTCAGCACATATGTTGGATGGTGATGGCTCATGACCTAAAATGAGGAATGTGTGTGGAAGACCAGGTTAAGGGTAAAAGATGAAAATCAGATGTGAGCCTGGCAGGGTGGGACATATCTTAGTCCCAGCTACCCGGGATGCTGAGGCAGGAGGATCACTTTGAAACCAGGGGTTTGAAGGTCTAGTGTGCTAATATCATTTCTGAATAGCTGCTGCTTTCAAGCCTGGGCAACATAGAGAGACTCCCATCTCTAAAATTTAAAAAGTTGGATATGAGGGATCTACTACATAAAATAAGGATGTCTGGTATGAAGGTGGAAAGTGTTCTGAGCTGATTCTAGAATTAGGTAACACAGGAGGAATGGCTCAGACCACTGTGGTAGAATGTGGAAAGTGAAAAGAAATCTCAGGATGTGATCTGGGGGCAATAGTATATGGTACTGCACATACATTTGAGAAGAATACTATAGGGAAGGTCAGGTATAAAAGGTGAAAGACAGGAGCTTTGGCAATTAGTAGGCCATTGACCTCCTTTGAAAAGTCAGTTTCGGGCAACGCCTGTCGCTCAACAGGTAGGGCACCCATATACCGAGGGTGGCGGGTTTGAACCCAGCCCAGGCCGAACTGCAGCAACAAAAAAATAGCTGGGCATTGTGGTGGGTGCCTGTAGTCCCAGCTATTCAGGAGGCTGAGGCAAGAGAACCGCCTAAGCCCAAGAGCTGGAGGTTGCTGTGAGGTGTAATGCCATGGCACTCTACTGAGGGTAATGAAGTGAGACTCTGTCTCAGAAAAAAAAAAAAAAAGGAAAAGTCAGTTTCATGGGAAGTAAAGGAGAAAGCCTGATAATAGTTGATTAAATGGTGGTAGCTACTGGTATCTCTTTATTGTTTAAAAAATATGTTTTAAAACATACAGAATAATTCTGAGTGTGTTTTAGAAATATATATGAGTTAAGATATAACAAAATTAGTGAAATAATAAGTACTTAATCCAGAATAATGGATACTTCCAGTTGGGAGAAAGAGGATGATTTATTTGAGAGAATGACAGACTAGTCTTAGACTATATTGGTAATATGAACATCTGAAAGATTTCATGACTAATTTTTGGAAAGAATGAACATAGGGGGAAAAAATCATAAACCAATGAATGAAATGAGAGAAGTAGAGACACTACTCTTTGTTATGTTTAATTTTCAGAACCAGAGAGTTCATGGAAAAGTCAGTGTTCTATCCACAGGAAAAGGAACCTGAAATTTTGGGTATTCCTAACTCTAGCCACTAAAATCCTTTTCATTCACTCAGAAAACTGGACATGAAATATAATGGTGGTTTTTTGTTTGTTTCTTTGTTTGTTTTTTTGGAGACAGAGTCTTACTTTGTTTCCCTAAGTAGAGTGCAGTGGCCTCATAGCTTATAGTAACCTCAAACTCTTGGGCTCATGTGGTCTTCTTGCCTCAGTCTCTCAAGTAGCTGGGGCCATTCTCCTCTCTGAGTTTCACTTTTTTTTTTGCAGTTTTTGGCCAAGGCTGGGTTTGAACCCACCACCTCCGGCATATGGAGCCGGCGCCCTACTCCTTGAGCCACAGGCACTGCTCTGAGTTTCACTATTTTAGATTCCACATATAAGTGAGATTATACAGTATTTGTCTTTCTGTGCTTCACTTATTTCACTTAACATAATATTCATCATGATGTTGCCAATGGGAGAATCTCCTTTTTTTTTTTTCAAGGCTGATTAGTATTACATTGTGAAAATAAGCCACATTTCTTTGTACATTTATATTCATTGGTGGACATGTGGGTTGCTTCCATATCTTAGCTTGTGGAAGTACGCTGCTTGACACACTTATTTACTTTTTAAAAAAAATTTTTTTGAGACAGGATCACTATGCCCTTGGTAGAGTGCTATGGTGTCATAGCTCACAGCAACCTCAAACTCTGGGGCTCAAGTGATTCTCTTGCCTCATCCTCCCAAGAAGTTGGGATTATAGGTGCCCGCCACAATACCCAGCTATTTTTTTTTTTTGAGACAGAGTCTCATTTTTGTCACCTTCGATAGAATGCCATAGCATCATAGCTTGTAGCAATCTCAAACTCAAGTGATTCAGGAGAATTGTGCCTCCTGAATAGCACAATGCCTTCCTATTTTTAGAGATGGGGTCACACTTTTGCTCAGGCTGGTCTCAAACCTGTGAGCTTGAGCAATCCACCCACCTTAGCCTTCCAGAGTGCTAGGATTACAGCGGCAAGCCACCTCGCCCGTCCTGCTTGACACATTTAGTAAGGGCTAAATAGAAATGGTTTCTATAAATCATAATAATCTGGATTACCTTTCAGATACTTAAGCGTTACCTTCTTTAAACCTTATTGCTGGACCACACAAAGCTTGCTGTGAGCGTAAGTCATCCTTTATTATTGTCATACTTCAAGTCTCTTATGACATGTTTATATTACAGCTTGTTTACAAGGTAAAATCAAATGATATATTGGAGAAACTAGCCTTGAGTTCAGTGGACACCAGTGAGCAAACTGAATGGGAAAAACTTGTAGATGAAGCTAAGGGAAATCTACATAAAATCCAGGTATGTTCTGCCTGTCACATACCAGAGTACTTAGATTGATGTATTCATGAATATTAGGTTGCCTTACTGTATCTGGCATTTGTGAAACAGGATGATGAATTTGTGGTGAATTACTGTTTGAAGGCTCCATGGATAACCTATGAAACCACTCAAGAAATGCTCAATTATGCCAAAACCAGGGTAAGTTGGGGCTATTTGTTTTTGTAGAAAGAATTTGCTTTATTTATATATTTTTTATTTTTTGTTTTTTTTTTTGAGACAGAGTCTTACTGTCCCCCTCAGTAGAGTACCTTGGCGTCACAACTGACAGCAACCTCCAACTCTTGGGCTTAAGTGATTCTTTTGCCTCACCCTCCCAATTAGCTGAGATTACAGGCACCTGCCACAACGCCTGGCCTTTTTTATCTTAGAGACAAGGTCTCCCTCTGGCTCAGGTTGGTCTGGAACTTGTGAGCTCAGGCAATCCACCCACCTCAACCTCCCAGAGTGCTAGGATTACAAGCGTGATCCATGGCGCCTGCGGAAAGAATCTGCTTTAATCAGTCATCATAATCCTATCACTCCAAATACATTATTTCCTCCAGTTGTCTTCTCTATGTGTACTATTATAAAAAAATAAAATTTGCACAATAGTTTTATTGAGATAATTCATATCCCATATATTTCACTCATTTAAAGTGTATGCGGTGGCATGGCTCAGTGCCTGTGGCTCAAGTGGCTAAGGCACCACCCACATACACCTGAGCTGGCAGGATCGAATCTAGCCCGGGCCGCCAAAACAACAGTGATGGCTGCAACCAAAAAATAGCCAGGCATTGTGGCAGGCTCCTATAGTCCTAGCTACTTGGGAGGTAGAGGCAGGAGAATCACTTGAGCCCACGAGTTGGAGGTTGCTGTGAGCTGTGTTGCTACGGCACTCTACCCAGGGTGACAGCTTGAAGCTGTGTCTCAAAAAAAAAAAAGTATGAAGAAGTAGCAGGATCTCTTGCCCAGGCGTTTGGGTTTCTTTTGCTTGATATATATGTGCATGTGTGTATGGTTCGGTGATTTTTAACACATTCACTAAGTTTTGCAACCATTACCACAATCAATTTTAGAACTTTTTTTTTTTGAGACAGAGTCTCATGTCACCCTCACTAGAGTGCTCTAGCATCACAGCTCACAGCAGCCTTGAACTCTTGGGCTTAAGTGATTCTCTTATCTCAGCCTCCCAAGTAGCTGGGACTACAGGTGCCTGACACAGTGCCTGGCTATTTTTTGTTGCAGGTGTCATTGTTGTTTAATCAGCCCAGGCTGGGTCCGAACCTTAGAGCCTTGATGTATGTGGCTGGCGCCATAACCACCGTGCTACTGGTGCAGAGCCTAATTTTAGAACTTGTTCATCATCCCAAACAGAAATCCCATTAATAGTCACTCCTTGTTGTCTCTCTTCTCCCATCTTCAGGCAATAACTAATCCACTTCCTGTCTCTATAGAGTTGCCTGTTTTGGACATTTCAAACAAATGTGTTCTTTGTTTTTTGTTTTGTTTTGTTTTTTCAGACATAGGCTCTTGCTTCATTACCCAAGCTAGAGTGCAGTAGTGCAATCACAATTCATTGTAACTTTGAACTCCTGGGCTCAAGTGATCCTCCTGCTATAGCCTCCTAAGTAGCTAGGACTACAGGTGTGTGTTAACATGGACCACTAATTAAAAAAAAATTTTTTTAGGGCAGTGCCTGTGACTCAGTGAGTGGGGCGCTGGCCCCACATGCTGAGGGTGGAGGGTTCAAGCCTGCCCCAGCCAAATTGCAACAAAAGAAATAGCTGGGCATTGTGGTGGGCACCTGTAGTCCCAGCTACTCAGGGGGCTGAGGTAAGAGAATCGCCTAAGCCCAGGAGTTGGAGGTTGCTGTGAGCTGTGTAACGCCATGGCACTCTACCCAGGGCGATAAAGTGAGACTCTGTTTCTACAAAAAAAAAAAAATTTTTTAAGCCCCGCAACTGTGGCTCAAGCAGCTAAAGCGCCAGCCATGTACACCTGAGCTGGTGGGTTCGAATCCGACAACAATGACAGCTGCAACCAAAAAATAGCCAGGCGTTGTGGCGGGCACCTGTAGTCCCAGCTACATGGGAGGCTGAGGCAAGAGAATCACTTGAACCCAGGAGTTAGGGGTTGCTATGAGCTGTGATGCCACAGCACTCTACCCAGGGCGACAGCTTGAGGCTCTGTCCCCCCCCCAAAAAACCCAAATTTTTTAGAGGGGGTCTTGCTTTATTACCCAGACTAGTGTATTCTTTGCCTGCAGTGATCCTTCTGCCTCTACCTCCCAAAGTGCTGGAATTCTGTATCTGGCTTCTTTCACTTAGCATGTTCTCAGAATTCATCCACATTGTAGCATGAATCAGTTCTATATTTTTATTGCCAAGTTTTTATTTTTATATTTATATATATATATATATTGAGGCAGAGTCTCACTATGTCACACTCGGTAGAGTGCATGGTATCACAGCTCACAGCAACCTCAAACTCTTGGGCTTAAGCAATTCTGTTGTTTCAGCCTCCCTAGTAGCTGGGACTACAGGTGCCCACCACAATGGTCAGCTATTTTTGGTCACATTTGTCATTGTTGTTTAACAGGTCCCGTCCGGCTGGAACCTGCCAGCCTCCATGTATATTACTGGTGCCCTACTCACTGAGCTACAGGTGCCGAGCCTGCCAAATAATATTCTGTTGGGGTGCTGCCTGTGGCTCAGTGAGTAGGGTGCTGGCCCCATATACCAAGGGTGGCAGGTTCGAACCTGGCCCCTGCCAAACTGCAACAAAAAAATAGCCGGGTGCTGTGGCAGGCACCTATAGTCCCAGCTACTTGGGAGGCTAAGGCAAGAGAATCGCCTAAGCCTAAGCTGGAGGTTGCTGTGGACTGTGATGCCACAGCATTCTACCAAGGGGGACAAAGTGAGACTCTGTCTTTAAATAATAATATTATTATTATTATTATTTTTTTTGGTTGTAGTTTGGCTGGGGCCAGGTTTGAACCTGCCACCCTTGGTATATGGGGCCAGAGCTCTACTCCCTTGAGCGATAGATGCTGCCTATAATATTCTGTTGAAACATTTTGTTTTTTCATTTATCAGTCAATGGATATTTAGGTTATTTCTACTTTTTTTTAAATTTGGTTTTTATTAAATAGGATGCAAAATTTACCATCTTTTCCTTTTTTTTTGAGACAGAGTTTTACTTTGTTGCCCTTGATAGAATGCCATGATGTCACAGCTCACATCAACCTCCAAATCTTGAGTTTAAGTCAGTGGTTTGCAACCTTCCTAATGCCGCAACCCTTAACACAGTTCCTGTTGGGTCACGACCCACAAGTTGAGAACCACTGACTTAAGTAATTCTCTTGCCTCAGCCTCCCAAGTAGCTGGTACTACAGGCACCTGCCATAATGCCTGGCTATTTTTTTTTTTAGAGTTGGGGTCTCCATCTTGCTCAGGCTGCTCTTGAACTCGTGAGCTCAGACAGTACATCTGCCTCAGCCTCCCAGAGTGCTAGGATTACAGGTGGGAGCCACCATGTCCCGCCCATCTTTTTCATTTTTAAGTTTAGTTGTATTGAGTACATTTCTAGTGATATACACTCATCTCCACCATTAATCTCCAAAATTCTTTTCATCTTGTGAAACCAAAACTCTGTACCCATTAAACAGTAATCCCTTCCAGCACCATCAGCACCAACAGTAATCCCTTCCAGGCAACCACCATCTACTGTCTGTCTCCATGATTTTGACTACTCTGAGTACCTCACACCAAGTGGAATCATACAGTATTTGTCTTTTGTGACTGGTTTATTTCACTTAGCATAATGTCATCCAGATTCATTCATATTGTTCCAAAGAACAGAATTTCCTTCCTTTTTAAGATTGAATAATATTCCATTATATGTAAATACCACACCTTATTTATTCATTTCTCTGTGTTGCTTCCATGTTTTTGCTAATGCGAGTAGTGCTGCTATAATCATGGGTGTAAGGATGGGCATGGTGGCTCACACCTATAATCCTAGCACTCTAGGAGGCAGAGGCAGGTGGATTGCCTGAGCTCACAGATTCAATACCAACCTAAGCAAGTGCAAGACCCCATCTCTAAAAAAAAAACAAAAACAAAATACCCAAGTGTGGTGGATGCCTGTATTCCCAGCTACTTGGGAGGCTGAGGCAAGAGAATCACTTAAGCCCAGGAGTTGGAGGTTGCTGTGAGCTGTGACACCACAGCACTCTACCAAGGGTGACAAAGTGAGACTCAAAAATAAATGAATAAAAATAAAAAATTTATAATCATGGGTGTATGAATGTCCATTCCAGTCCCTACTTCAGTTCTTTTGAATTCCACCCAGAGGTGGAATTGCTGGATCATATGATAATTCTGTTTTAAATTTTTGGAGGAACCACCATACTGTCTTCCACAGTTGCTATACTTGTTTGACATTACCACCAACATGCACAGAGGTTCCACTTTCTCTATTTCCTTGCCAGTACATTTTTTTTCCATAGCAGGGTATGAAGTAGAGGGTAAGTTTTGATAATGTTTGTACTCATTTATCTCATGCAAAAGAATGTATTTTTCTGTTGTACACTTTTTTTTTTTGAGACAGAGCCTCAAGCTGTCCCCCTGGGTAGAGTGCCGTGGCATTACAGCTCACAGCAACCTCCAACTCCTGGGCTCAAGCGAGTCTCCTGCCTCCGCCTCCCAAGTAGCTGGGAATACAGGCGCCCGCCACAACGCCCGGCCATTTTTTTTTTGGTTGCAGCCATCATTGTTGTTTGGCGGGTCCAGGCTGGGGATTCGAACCCGCCACCTTAGGTGTACGTGGCTGGCGCCTTAGCTGGTTGAGCTATAGGCGCCGAGCCTGTACACTTTTTTTAATATGAGTTTTTCACTATTGCAAATAAGTTATTTTGACAGTAGATTGTTCTTCTCATTGACCTATCAGTATTGTTGCTAGTTATATTCCTTAAAACCAAGATGTAACATGGGCAAAATCTTACAGACTGTTTAGATAAAATGCATTATTTGTTTAAATATGTAATTTATTTAGTATTCATCTCAGACTTAACATCCAGTTTTTTTGTTAATTCATAGAAAATTCATCCTCTTTTGTGGAAATTTTAATATCAATGCTTTACAAGTTCCAAAGATAATCCTAACATAGCAAATGTTCTTATCACTCTGTTTTTTATTGTTCTTAATTAGCTTTTGAAGAAAGAAGATAAAACTGTTTTTATTTATTCTGATGGCTTAAAAGAGGTAATTACATTAAATTTATAGATTAACTTGGGGATGATTTACCTTTATAATATGTTTTCCATTCATGATGGGTTTGTCTTTCTTCAGGAGCAAGTTATCTACTTTTTTTTTTGAGACAGAGATTCCCTCTGTTGCCCTGGGTAGAGTGCCATGGCTATGTAGGTCACAGAAACCTCAAACTCTTGGGCTCAAGTGATCTTCTTGCCTTAGCATCCCCAGTAGCTGGGACTACAGGTGCCTGCCACAACTCCCAGCTAGTTTTTCTATTTTTAGTAGAGACGGGAGTCTCACTCTTGCTCAGGCTGGCCTTGAACTACTGAGCTCAAGCAATCTACCAGCCTCAGTCTCCAAGAGTGCTAAGATTATAGGCTTAAGCTACTGAACCCAACATCTGCAAAATGGGAAGACTAATAGTATTTAACTTTTAGGGTCATTTTGAAGTCAAAGGAAATAATTTCTTTAAGCCATTTTGCCTAATACCTGGTAGCTGTTAAACATGCAAATAAATGTAAAACTGTAATGATGATTATGATGGTTCCACAGTACATGTGAGTATGTATATGTGCGTATATCTATTTAAATTCTTAGCTCAAAATAAATGTTGATATAATCCAGGTAGATTTTGCCATAAGAACACTTATAAATGAGTGGGAAAACTGACTTTGAAGGGTATCCACAATTATAATTGAATGTAGTTGGAAATGTTTTCATTATTCTACATGTTTTTCTTTTATGTTAAATGAAGTTGTATTTATAGAAATTGGCACATAATATTGGATAAAATGTGAATGTGTGTAAGACTTCAGAAATAGAATGACTAATTTTTGGTGTTTTTTATTTCAATATCAGTACACACAATATTCAGATTGTCAAATTATTTTCTCTTTAGATATTAAGGGCTCATGCAAAGTTGACTACTTTTTATGGAGCATTTGGACCAGAAAAATTCAGGTGCATATATTCCCCATTTTTTATTTTTAGATTATGAATTAGGTATGTTTGAAATGTCATTAAAATAGTAGGATTCCTTTGGGTGAATTTGTGTTTCTGGAGGGGTGTTGAGTGTCTCCATGAATTCAATTCCTGAGAATGTCATTGCTAAGATAAAGGGTAAATACACCTAGGCTCGTTGCCTGGGGCTCAAGTGGCTAAGGCGCCAGCCACATATACCCACGCTGGTGGGTTGGAATCTAGCCTGGGGCTGCCAAGCAACAATGATGGCTACAACCAAAAAATAGGCAGCCATTGTGGCAGGCGCCTGTAGTCCCTTGTGAGGTGGAGGCAGGAGAATCGCTTAAGCCCAAGAGTTTGAGGTTGCTGTGAGCTGTGACGCCATGGCACTCTAGCGAGGGCAACAAAGTGAGACTCTATCCCCCCCACAAAAAACAAAAGAAACTGTTTGTATATGAGGATTGTCCAGGAGCTATTCATGCAAGTAATATGAAAAAATAGAGGCATACTTGTCTGGGGACTTTCTGGACCACCCTCATATATGTTGATTTTCTGAGAAAGGTACTACAAGAAGACACATGGCTCTAGGAAAGAGTTCTGTGGGTCTGGGGTAAGAAGGAAACTGACAACTGTTTTAATTAATTAATTAATTTATTTTTTAAAGATCAAATTATTCAGTCTCTGTAGAGACCATCAAAAATTCCAATGCCCTGGCTTGGCGCCTATAGCTCAACCGGCTAAGGCGCCAGCCACGTACACCTAAGGTGGCGGGTTCGAATCCCCAGCCCGGACCCGCCAAAAAAACAATGACGGCTGCAACCAAAAAATAGCCGGGCGTTGTGGCGGGCGCCTGTGGTCCCAGCTGCTTGGGAGGCTGAGGCAGGAGACTCGCTTGAGCCCAGGAGTTGGAGGTTGCTGTGAGCTGTAATGCCACGACACTCTACCCAGGGGACAGCTTGAGGCTCCTGTCTCAAAAAAAAAAAAAAAAAAAAAAAAATTCCAATGCCAGCTATATTGCAAATTGTCAGGCAGGTTATTGGGAATAGTAACAATAACTGTGGCTCAGATAAACCTGTAACAGCAAAGCTGTAACTGTTTTAAATACTTTTTTAACTTTATTAGGAAAACAAACTAGTTAAAATGCTTAAGGATATCCACTTGTAGAGTAGAATCTTAATTTTTTATAAACTAACTGTTTTTCCTCTTTGTCTTCTTAGTTGTAGTTCTTGGATCGAATTTCTGAATAATGAAGATGATCTTAAAGATATTTTTTTACAGCTAAGAGAAGGAAACCTTGTTTGTGCACAGTACCTTTGGCTTAGACATCGGGTAACATGTTTTGCATTTTTTTCTTTAATGGCTTTCTAACTCCTGAGATAGGTGATTAAATCAATATTGGAAACCAATAGGTTGGCAAGTTTGGGTAATGAAATGTTTTTCGACCATTTCTTTTTATTTATTTAATTTTTTTTTTTTTGAAGACAGAGCCTCAAGCTACTGACCCTGGGTAGAGTGCTGTGCTCCTACCAGCTCACAGCAACCTCTAACTCCTGGGCTTAAGCGATTCTCTTGCCTTAGCCTCCCAAGTAGCTGGGACTACAGGTGCTGGCCACAAAGCCCAGCTATTGTTTGGTTATAATTGTCATTGCTGTTTGGCAGGCCCGGGCTGGATTCGTACCCACCAGCTCTAGTGTATGTGGCTGGTGCCTTAGTCACTTGAGCTATAGACACTAAGCCTGGATTGTTTCATAAAATAGGACTTACCCCAGAGAAAATTGTCCTCTAGTGATATTAAATCAGAGGAAGTATAATGAAGAACTTTATTTTGTCTTGTCATTAGGAGTGTAGCTCCTAATCTTTTTTTTTGAAACAGAGTCTCACTGTTGGTAGAGTACCGTGGCATCACACAGCAATCTCAAACTTTTGGGCTTAATCGATTCTCTTGCCTCAGCCTCCCAAGTAGCTGGGACTACAGGCCCCCACCACAATGCCTGGCTATTTTTGTTGTTGTAGTTGTCATTGTTTAGCAGGCCTGGGCCGGGTTTAAATCCACCAGCCCTGGTGTATGTGACTGGCACCATAACCAATGAGCTGTAGGAGCTGAGCCTCTAGCTCCTAATCTTACCTCAAAAGACAACATTTTATAATATGATTTATTAGTGGACTTTCTAATGTGGTATTGGTAGAAAGGGTGTTACTACTGCAGCTCAGATTTTGGTCAAAGATTGCCCATTAAATTTGCTGATCTGAATCCCTAACATTGCCTGCTCTTGGCATATAACATTAGGTCCAAAAAGTGTTATCTTGCCATGATGACGTTAATATCTATGTCGCTTGGTCAGATTTGTACTTATCTCCAATTAAGTTTTCCTTAGAATGTTGTCGGCCAGTTCCTCTGCTACCTGATTTGTTATTTGATACTCCCTGCTGTGGAGTTTCATGGAAAGTGTGGCTCCCAATTAGACTCATTTATATGGTATAAATCTCTTTTAACACTCATTATTAAATAAGTGGGCTTTTCCTTGACATGACTTCATGCTAGTTCCTTTCCAACTTACTTAAAGCTGCCAGTTTAAATTTGTTGGGTATATTTTAATTCTTTACTCCTTATAATTTAGGCAAACTTTGAAAGGAAATTTGACTTGAAAATGCTTGAGTACTTGCTCAACTCAATTTCTACACCAGTCTCTTTGCAAAAACTCTGTCCATGGTTTAAAAATGATGTGATTCCTTTTGTGAGAAGGACTGTACCTGAAGGACAAGTGAGTTACTTTGTATATTTCTATTAGTGATTTATTTTTATTTTTTATCTTAGGCTGTTGAAGATTAAGTCATGTTGACACGAGTTAGGTATAGTAACCCATGAGTGTTAGTTAAATGTGATTGTGGAGATTTTTAGTTATTCCATTGAGAATTTAGTTTTTAAATAATATGTCTATTTCAGAAAATTATTGCAAAATGGTTGGAGCAAGCAGCCAGGAACCTTGAATTAACTGATAAGGTAATATCAGTTTAGTTAACATTAAAAAGACATTTTGCACACTCCCAACAACATCAAACATTGTTTTTAATTGTCTATAATATTTTTTAAAGGCAAACTGGCCAGAAAATGGACTTCAACTGGCAGAGATATTTTTCACAGCAGAAAAAACAGATGAGTTGGGATTGGCTTCCTCTTGGGATTGGATTTCCTTGGTATGATGAGAAGAATGGATTTTTAATATTGAAACAGTCAGTTTATGTTAAAGTCTTTGTCTACATGTATGTAGAGAAAAGTATCTGGAAATATGTCTACTTCTTAAATTTCTTGTTTTTATGTTCCTTTTGTGCCTTTCAAATCCACATAAAGGAAAATTTGCATTCTTACCTTTCTGATATTTGTGTTATAACTTCAACATATTTCAATGCACTATTTTTCTTTATTGAACCAACCAAAAGGGAAACAATATAGAGAAGTTCCTGTAAGTAGTATAATTGGAATTATCTACATTTAACAGCATTTTATAATTCTTTAAAAGAATAAACCTTAATAATACATTAGGATTACTTTTCAAAGGCTGTATCAATCAGATCTCCTTTTATTTGAACTAGTAAGCAACCCCTTGGCATGACTGTGTTCCTTATATATTCTAATAGCCATTATGGCTAAAGTGTCAATGATTCTTTTAAAGGTTGAATTATAAAACATTTAGGACTTTCTGGCAGTCTGTTAAAAATAACAGTGCTACGCTCAGCGCCTGTGGCTCAAGTGGCTAAGGCGCCAGCCACATACACCTAAAGTGTCGGGTTGAAATCCAGCCCGGGCCTGCCAAACAACAATGATGGGTGCAACCAAAAAATAGTTGGGTGTTGTGGCCGACGCCTGAGGTCCCAGCTACTTGGGAGACTGAGGTAGGAGACTCACTTGAGCCCAGGAGTTGGAGGTTGCTGTGAGCTGTGATGCCATAGCACTCTACCCAGGGACACAGCTTGAGGCTCTGTCTCAAAAAAGAAAAAACAACAGTGCTAGAGGGAACTAATATCAGAATGTTGTTTATACTTGACGGTAATAAACTGAATCTATTTTGTGGCTTCTAAATTTGTTAAATTTATTTCTTTTTCCCTTGAATGCTAAAAACTAGAAAGTGTTTATTATATTTATAATATACATTATTGTATTTTATAAAATGTTTCTCAGGAGTGCCATAATTTAGTTTGCAAACTCATATGAGACATGTCAATATAATCTTACCTCTGAAGTAGTATGCAGTTTAGTACCAGTAAATGTGACCTTGAAAGTAATATATATATACATATATATATTATTTTTTTTTAGACAGAGTCTTTGTCCCCCTCTGTAGACTGCTATGGTGTCATAGTTCACAGCAACCTCAAACTCAATGGGCTCAAGTGATTCTCTTGCCTCAGCCTCTCAAATAGCTGAGACTACAGGTGCCCACCACAATACCCACTATTTTTAGAGATAGGGTTTCACTCTGGCTCAGGCTGATGAGCTCAGATGATCCACCTGTCTTGGCTTCCCAGAGTGGTAGGATTACAGGTGTGAGCCACCACACCTGGCGAAAGTAACATATATTATGAAATTGTGATTCCTTAAATTTCAGAACCCTAAAAGAAATAAATTTCTTTCTATTTTCCGATATAGCAGATTGTTATTACTTATACTTATTAACTATACTCTCTTAAAATGTGAATTTTTTTCTGATTTTAAGCAGTCTACTGATTATTGGAATGCATATTTCCACATCAGAGCTTTTTTCTCTTACTGTGTTAAACACTGCTTTGTCTTTCCCTGTTAGCTGCCTTCTATCAATATTGAAAATCTTTTAGGAAATTTTATAGCTATATATCATATCGTGATCTATATAAAGAGATGGAACTTTGAGGGCCATCTGAATGATGTTTGTGTAGCTAAGTGTTTGGGGGTTCTGAAAAAACATTGTAGTAGTATTGTTAGTTTTTCTCTTTTTTTTTTTTTTTTGAGGCAGAGTCTCATTATGACACCTTCGGTAGAGTGCTTGGTGTAATAGCTCACAGCAACTTCAAACTCTTCAGCTTAAGCAATCATCTTGCCTCAGCCTCCCAAGTAGCTGGGAATACAGGCGTCTGCCACAACACCTGGCTATTTGTTTTTTGTTGTAGTTGTCATTGTTTAGCTGGCCCAGGCTGGGCTTGAATCTGCCAGCCTTGGTCCATGTGGCTGGCACCATAACCACTGCTACAAGTGCCAAGCCTCTTTTTTTTTTTTTTTTTTGAGACAGAAACTCAAGCTGTCCCCGTGGGTAGAGTGCTATGGCATCACAGCTCACATCAGCCTCCAACTCGTGGGCTCATGTGAGTCTCCCAAGTAGCTGGGACCACAGGTGCCCGCCATAAGGCCTAGCTATTTTTTGGTTGCAGCCATCATTGTTTGGCGGGCCCTGGCTGGATTCAAACCTGCCACCTTAGGTGTATATGGCTGGTGCCTTAGCCACTTGAGCCACAGGCGCTGAGCCCTCTTTATTTTTTTTAAAGAAAATTTCTTTCATGATTATTTCTTATTTTATATGAAATAATCCTGACTCCATCTGTTTCTTCTTGCACACTTACATATCTTTAACAACTTTAACAATTTTGTTTTAGAAGGATTATCAGAACACGGAGGAAGTCTGTCAGTTAAGGACTTTGGTGAATAACTTGCAAGAGTTGATTGCATTGCATAGGAAATACAACTGCAAACTGGCTCTCTCTGATTTTGAGAAGGTAAAAGTGTGGATTCATCAGAATTATTTTCTGTATTATATCCAGTTATGGCTAGAGTCTACATTTAAGCTTTCTTTTGGCATCCAGGAAAATGCTGCCACCATAGTGTTCCGAATGTTTGATAAAGTGCTGGCTCCAGAGCTTATTCCCTCTGTTCTAGAGAAGTTTATAAGAGTTTATATTCAGGAACATGGCTTGCAAGAGGAAGAACTTCTTTTATTGTACATAGAGGTAACTTTTTCTTTAGACTTAGTTTTATTTCTCGGATCTATGCAGTTTATCATTGTATTAAAGGTTTAACTCTTTAAGCTCTTTAAGGAATGTCATGCTTTCCAATTAGGAGTTAAGCAGCATATTAGTTAAGAATGTGGGTTAATTTAGCTACTGACTGACTGAGGCCCTTTAGCAAAAACATGATATTTGGGCTTTCCCCAGAGCACTATTGTAAGATAATAGGAGGAGGAGCAATACAGGTTAACAGGGTTTTTTTGCTAACATTAATATGCTGCACTAATCTCCTTTGTAGATTCTTCAAGCATGTTTCCTTCTTAAATTTTCTAGAAGTTTCTTATAAAACTGATGGCTGAAGTTTTGGCAGTTTTATATTTTTTGACCATGTTCAATGATCATAACTAATTAGAACTTTTGGGTTTGTTTTACATATCCATAAAGGCTATTTATTTACATCTATCTGTGCCCAGGCTGGAGTGAATTGTATCATTATAGCTCTCTGCAACCTCAAACTCTGGGCTCAAGTGATCCTGAGTAGCTGGGAATGTAACATAAGCCATCGTACCCACCTTTTTTTTTTTTTCTCAGTTTTTGTCCGGGGCTGGGTTTGAATCCACCTCCAGCATATGGGGCTGGTGCCCTACTCCTTTGAGCCACAGGCACTGCCCCCAACCCACCTTTTTTTTTGTTTTGAGACAGAGTCTCAAGCTATCGCCTTGGGTAGAGTGCTGTGGTATCAAAGCTCATAGCAACCTCAAACTCTTGGGCTTAAGCGATTCTCTTCCCTTAGCCTCCCAAGTAGATGGGACTATAGGCACCCGCGACAATGCCCAGCTATTTTTTGGTTGTAGTTGCCATTGTTGTTTGACAGGCTCAGGCTGAATTCGAACCCACCAGCTCCAGTGTATGTGGCTGGCTCTGTAGCCGCTGAGCTACAAGCACCAAGCCTTTTTTTTTTTTTTGTCACTTTGTCACCTTTGGTAGAGTGCCATGGTGTCATAGCTCACAGCAACCTCAGACTCCTGCACTCAAGCAATCCTCTTAGCTCAGCCTTTGGAGTAGCTGGGACTATAGGCACCCCCCACAGTGTTTGGCTAATTTTTCAATTTTTTTAGTATAGATGGGTCTTTCTCTTGATCAAGCTGGTCTCAAACAATCCACCTACCTTAGCCTCCCAGTGTGCTAGTATTACAGGCATGAGCTGCCATGTTCAGCTGAGTCTTAAATTTTTAATAAACATATATATGTTTATCCCTTTTTAGGATTTACTGAAGAGATGTAGCTCAAAGTCAACATCACTCTTTGAAACACCATGGGAAGCAAAGGCCATGGCAGTGATAGGGTGTTTATCTGACACAGATGTAAGTAAACAGTAACCATTTGGGTTTCCCTTTTGAGCACTGGATCTTTTCTTAACGATTTTTTCTGATCATAAAAGTATAAATATTTGTTAAGAATGATTTGTATACTATTAAAAAGGAATAAGAAAGTGAAAATCATCTATAATTCTGTATTATTATGGAAGATAAAAAGTGAACATTTTCTAATTTCCACCCCCAAAAGAATCTCTATGGACAATTGGGTGCCTATCTTTCTAGGCCTTTCTGTGGTTATATGAACAAGTAGACATTTTTTAGTATGTCACAATATGCCTTTATTTTGACTTCACATTGTTAGTTCCCATTATAAAATGTAAATAAAATCATGAAAATTGTTTTGAGACAAGAGATTGTGGAGGCTCGGCGCCTGTGGCTCAAGCGGCTAAGGCGCCAGCCACATACACCTAAGGTGGCGGGTTCAAATCCCCAGCCCGGGCCCGCCAAACAACAATGATGGCTGCAACCAAAAAATGGCCAGGCATTGTGGTGGGCGCCTGTAGTCTCAGCTACTTGGGAGGCTGAGGCAGGAGACTCGCTTGAGCCCAGGAGTTGGAGGTTGCTGTGAGCGTGATGCCATGGCACTCTACCCAGGGGGATAGCTTGAGGCTCCGTCTCAAAAAAGAAAAAAAAAAAAAAGAGATTATGGAAAGTAATAAAGTTGTATGTCTTAGCTATCTGCATTCAAAATACTCTTCTAAATTTTTCTAATTAATAAAATTGCTATTTGTGTGTGAGAATTGGAAGAAATATATAGAAATATATGCTTCTGCAGTCAGTAGGTGAATATTCTCAAACTACCATATCGTTGACGGAAGGCCTCTGCTGATTAGGCAGTGTCATTAGTGTACATGAAACATAAATTCAAGGGCTAGTCATTGTATATTTCTTTGTAGCTCATATTTGATGCTGTGCTTAAGATAATGTACGCAGCAGTGGTTCCTTGGAGTGCAGCTGTGGAGCAGCTGGTGAAACAACACCTAGAAATGGACCATCCCAAGTAAGATTAGAGTGTGCCTATTTTTTTGTGCTTTGGGTAAACCTCATGTTTTGAGTTGACATTCATTTACATTTTTTTATTACTTACTATGTCCCATAGTATTTCATAAAAAGCACAATTCATGTTATATCTATAAATTTGCTTTTAGAGTCAAGTTATTACAGGAAAGCTACAAATTAATGGAGATGAAAAAGCTTCTTCGAGGCTACGGAATAAGAGAGGTGAATCTCTTAAATAAGGAAATAATGGTAAGTACATTATATGAAGAGTCTTTTCCCCTTCCGTCTATTTCTACGCCAACATGGGAAATTTCATGAGGATGATATTCTGATTGATTAAGAGATACAGGTTTTCTACTATTTTTTTTTTTGTTAGATACAATGTTAATAGAGTGTTCAGTTGTGAGAGTATTAAGGACAACAAATGGTAAATTAAGATGCTAATAAAGAAGAATGAACTTTCATATGATTCAGAATATAAATCATGTTTTAATCTTTCATACAGTTTATTTTTCGTTATATTACTTTAATTTTATGGCCACTTTGCCCTTATAAGTAAATGACTTCTGGATACTCTGAGATTTCATAGCAAAGAAGTATACATATTGTTCTTGTTTCAGAGGGTGGTCAGATACATTCTCAAACAAGATGTCCCATCTTCTCTAGAAGATGCTTTGAAGGTAGCACAAGCATTTATGTTGTCTGATGATGAGATCTACAGTCTGAGAATTATTGACCTAATTGATAGAGATCAGGTAATGTACGTCTTATATTGTCATTTCATATGCCTTCTTTGTTAACTAAATACTTAAAAATTACTGAAAGCCATCAAATTGTCCAAACAGACGTGCTCAAAATAAAATTATATCAATGTGAAAATAGGCGATGTTAGATCAGTCACTTTTTTCATATCTGCGAATTCTTTTAAAGCTGGTAATAACAAAACTCAGACTCACATTTCCCGTATATTACAGGATCCTTTGATTCTAGAATAGGGTGCATGTTTTCTTATGTTTTTTATATTTTTAAGTGTCTTTATTTTTATGTAATTCTATAACTATACGTATGTCTAAGAATTAAATAAATCTTAGGTACCTAGGGGTTTTTTTTCTGAGTATTACAGGAGTGTACATAATTTGGTTATATGAATTTGTATTTGTATCTTTTAAGTCAGTGTTGTACTTAGTAAATGTGCCCTTCACCCAGAATATGTGCACTGCACTAGTTAGATATAAATTTACCTTGCCCCTCTTTCCTCCTCCCCCACTTGATTTTTGTTGAGTTTTACTTCCTTATGTGCACAAAAGTGTTATTTGACTAGTTCCAGTTTAGAATTGAGTATATGTGGTATTTATTTTTTCATTTTTTTTTTTTTTGAGACGGAGTCTCAAGCTGTCCCCCTGGGTAGAGTGCTATGGCATCACTCACAGCAATCTCCAACTCCTGGGCTCCTGCCTGTGCCTCCCAAGGAGCTGGGACCACAGGCGCCCGCCACAACGCCTGGCTATTTTTTTGGTTGCAGCCATCATTGTTGTTTGGCGGGCCCAGGCTGGATTCGAACCCGCCACCTTAGGTGTATGTGGCTGGCGCCTTAGCCACTTGAGCTGCAGGTGCCGAGCCTATTTTTTCATTCTTACAATACTTCTCTTAAATTTATTTTATTGTTTGCTGTTATAAATTTTCAGGGGGTGGGGCACAGTGGTTCATACCCATAATGCCACACTTTGGGAGGCCAAGGCAAGAGGATCACTTGACCCTAGGAAATAGGGGTGGCTATGATTGTGCCACTGCACTCTAGCCAGGGTGTCAGAGTGTGACTTTATCTCAAAAAAAATAGAAAAGAAAGAAATTTTTAGACTTTTAAAACATTGAACCATAATCTATTTGTTAAAATGATATCTTTTCATGTTTAAATAAGAAAGAGATAAGTACAAATTATCCTTGCAGGTACCAAGTATTTTTTATTCTTTTCAAACACTGTGTATAGGGTGAAGATTGTCTCCTTCTGTTGAGGTCTCTACCTCCTGCTGAAGCTGAGAAAACTGCAGAAAGAGTTATCATATGGGCACGACTTGCCCTACAAGAAGAACCAGATAATTCTAAAGAGGTGAGATTTTCACTAAATAAATCCAATTTTTATGGATATTTATTATTAGGATAGACAAGATAGATTTAACAAATATGAAGATCTATCTTTTTCATTACTAGAATGGCAGTGAATTATACCTCTAAATTTACCACACAGAAAAAAATCAAATATGGCTGCTTTTGAGCAATTGCTTGAGCCCACACAGAGTAACCTAGGATCTATACAAATTTGAAGGGTTACTTTAAGTAGCTATTGTACGTAAAGGATTTTTCGTAATGCCTTCCAGTATAAACAGTGTTTTATATTGTATAGGACATTAATTATTGCTGTCAAATAGTAATGTCAGCTGTAGAACCAAGATAAATGTAAATACTCCTAGAACATTGAAACTTAGATGTGGTTTCAACAGAACCCAGTGTATTTAATTTTATTAATTTTAATTTTATTTATTTAAATTTATTTTATTAACAGAGTCTTGCTCTGTCACTGGGATACTGTATAGTGGCGTCATCATCGCTCACTGCAACCTGAAAGTCCTGGACTCAAATGATCCTCCTATCTCAGGCTCCCAAGTAGCTGAGACCTATAAGCACATGCCACTTTGCCTGGCTAATTTTTCTATATTTTGGAGAGATGGGGTCTCACTGTTGCTCAGGCTGGTCTTGAACTCCTGAGCTCAAACAATTCTCTTGCCCTGGTCTCCAGAGTGCTAGAATTACAGGCATGAGCCACCACCATGTCTAGCCCAGTTTACTTCTTTATAGATAAGGAACCAAATACCTAATTCATCCAGGATAGCTGGGTGTTTAAACCCTTAGTTATAGATGCCTCCTATCTTCTCTCAGTAGTCCATTTCAATAAATTTTTTCCTTTAGGGAAATAAGTTTTCTTTTTTTTTTAGAGGTTGGGGGGAGAAGATGGAGGGAGAAGAAGTAGAGTAGAGGGAGAAAGAAAGGTGAATGGGCTCGGCGCCTATAGCTCAACCGGCTAAGGCGCCAGCCACGTACACCTAAGGTGGCGGGTTCGAATCCCCAGCC